AAGACTCCGATACGACGTACTCGTCCCTTAGAGTGATATATGATTCACACTCACTGAACCTCCTTTCACTTTAACGCAATGTACAGTGATCATTCAGAAAATTCTTAGGCGCCACATTTGTTATACCAAGGAGTCAGCTGGAGACTTGTGAACGGTATTGGCAGCACGCATGCACATTACTGCTCATTGAAAGGTGTAGAACCATTCTCCACATAACAATCATTGATGCATGGCCTTTCCTAATACCACGAAGGGTGTTACGCTATCCTTCAATGAATGGATGCTGGGGCTGTACAGTGTATATCTACATCATCGAAACTGCAATGCGAAATTTCATTCTTTTATCATGCCTAGGTATCATGCCCTTATCTGAGAAATTGCACTCCTTCATCATCATGAAATTGATGTCCATATCCGCGAAATTTATTTCCCTATTCGACCACCACCGCTAAATTGACGTCCCTATTCTCATATACGATTTCTTCACTAAACTGGCTAAATTGGCGATCTTACCTGCGAAATGGATTTCTGAAAGGCAGCAATTCCACAGTAGATGTTGAATTTTAAAACTGCCGTATTGCAGGGCTTCACACGAGTCCATCTCCATACCACTATACATGGGTCTATCATTGCTGCATATAGGATAGCTGGACAACAAGACCGAAAACATAATTTCCAACGGAAACACCATTTGATGAAAACACAAATACAAAATTCCAGTCAAAATCGGAGTGATTTAAACTTGCTATCCAAAGCAGCTATCAAGGATACGGTCCTACTAGGACCATCGTCTGGGATGCTGCCTAGGACCATCCTAAGCAGCATCAAAGACGATGACAGGGGAGGAGGAGGCCCGGTGAGAATTGCCACAGTCTAATCAATCTCCATAGAGAAGATTGTACCACAAAGAGCAGTACTGCTGACTACTTAGGAGGTAGCGTCCTGAGCCTTTTTCCCCTACCGTCTCAGTGGAGAGGTACATCGGAGATGAATCATGCTTTGATACACAGCGAGCCATCTCCAGTATCTTACATTTGCCTCCGTACCACCTTATCCTCGTACCAGAACTGCTCAGCAGTGGGCAGCTCCTTGCCAGGGTTGGCGTGGAGAGAAGCTCCCCATGGGCCGTCCGATGCAAAACTCGAGAGAGGGGACCTAAGAGGAATCTTCGGACATAATAACGGCGTATCATATAATCCTTTTCTAAGGGCTGCTATGCTACTAGCAACACCCTTTCACGGAACCTTTCTTTGCCACCTACGCAAACCCTTGTATCTTGTTGTTGCAATAGGCGCTGTTAAAATCTCGCTACGCCATTGTAATCGATAAGTCTGACTGAATCTTGCGTGGTCGCTAGCATGCGGTTGCAATGGTAGTAGTCTCATTGAGAAATTAGATGGCTTACTCTTCAGCAGGTCTCTCGTCATGGTGTGGCTAATGATCTGTCCGTGACGTGAGTGAAATTCTGAGTGTGCTCGGATGCTCCACGTCTCCGCCCCTTGCGGCTACCCTCATTTATCCGTTGAGTCCTGGCATTCATACTGCTCGTTTCCGATGAACTCCTTATAATAACAAGCCTAGAAACACAGCAACTCTAGCGAGGACGCTATCTCCTGTGATCTTCCTAATGAGATGGTCACATCTGCTTGGGGTCTCCAGCAACGATGCTGGCTTCTCGTGGTGTTTATCACGCACTGCTTCTGGCCAGTCGGCGGAGGTGGGTTGGAATAAATTTGTGAGATCACTTGAATGGACAAGAGTGAAGGCTCTGTCTCATTTTGCCATGACTTACCATTGGGAAAACTTTTGATCTGAGTAGTCGTTGTTGTACAGGAATACGTCTCTACGAGCTTGATTATAGAACTAGACCAATGGACAGCACAGCTCCATCTTGCTACTATCCCTTTCACTGCACAACGGTGTCTCCTCGTATCAATTCCAACCACAATGAGTTGAATCATTTGCATAGTAGTTTATTTGAATCTTCTAATGGGATTCTTCCGTACTGTGACCTTAGTCTTCGTCCCTGTCGTCGCCGTTCTCTTGGCGTTGGTCTCCTATATGGAGGTGGACCTATCTCCCAAGAGTCTCTCGGTTGGGCTCCGTCAGCTGGCTGTTACTCTCCCCTTCTCCAACCTCAAGCACAATAGGGAATTTATTGTAGATGACATTCCCACTGATCTGTCCGGTAAAGTGGTTCTCATCACAGGAGCCTCTAGTGGTATTGGTTTTGAGTCTGCCAGAATACTCGCTTCTCGCGGTGCCAAAGTGGTCGTGGGTATTCGAGGCAACCGCGGTAGGTTAGATAAAATAACATCTTCCCTACCAGGTCAGGTATTGGCACCGGCTCCCTTGGATCTATCTGACTACGACACTATCAGGAATTTTGTTCAAGCTCTCCCTAACGTGGGTATTGACCATTTCGATATAGTTTTGCTCAATGCGGGAAAGTTGATCACGGAGTATGGCACTGATAAAAACGGTATCGAATCGATGCTTGCCGCTCATCATCTCGGCCATGCCTATCTTTTCGAGTTGCTCACGCCGATGCTACTGAGAACCTCTGGTAAAGTACGAGTGGTTATCACTTCCAGTGCAGCACATCTGTACACCTATCCTGAGGGCTTGCGCTACAACGTCACCGCTGATGCTTTTGGGCCATGGCAGGCGTACGGCAACAGTAAGCTGGCTAATATTCTTTACACTCGAGAGCTGTCGACTCGTCTTGAAAAAAAGTTTCCGGGCAAGTTTGTGGTGAACACTGCCCATCCTGGGTGCGTTGCTACCCACTTTAGTATGGCGAACTACTACTTGCCACATTTCGTAGCCTACAACACGACTGAGGGGGCAATGCCTCT